GGCTGGGGAAAATCTTGAACCACAGTTGTAGATTTTAGTCTTCTTTCTTTCTTTTGGTTAGGTGTTCCAGAATTATATGCCTGTCTTTTGTTACCTTTTATGATTTTCTAATCCCACTTCAGACATTCAGCTTGGACACACGGGGGCAAAACGGTATTTTTGTGATTGTAAGTTTTTCAAAAAACTGTTTTTACTGCTGCATTTTAAGTTGCTGTTGCTTCATTTTCAAAACCTACAATGAAGTTACAGTAACAGTCTGGTGAGAACTTTAAAATAAAATGAAAATGAAAACTGTGGGGAGAAAAACCCTGGGTTCACAGCCATTACAACAGAAAACAAAGTGCATTCTCAAGAGACTACACAATAATAAGTTACAACAAAAACCAGCCTGATAAAAAAAGAATACAAAGGAAATATTATGAATACCAAATAAAGTCATATCTCATCAGGACTTGCCATCCCCATGATTGACCTGTCATATAAATAACAAATGGCCACCAAATTGAGGGAAATTCCATAGGTTTAGCTACACCCTGAGATACTCTTAATATATCACCCCCCCCCAAAAAAAAGAAGGATACAGAAAAAATGTGATAACTCCTTCCAGCCCTGTGGTATGATATGAGCAACTACTATAACAAAAATTGTATGTGTTCCATATTCAACCCCTCGAAGGATTGATAAAAGACATAATTTGGGTCTAAAGGCACCAATACACCTTTGAATACCATATGCTGAGAACTGCAGGCGAGGAGAGTGCTGCTGTGCTCATCAGTTTGCAGAAATTCCATGAGCCATTGTGGGTACAGAGTGCTAGAGACGCAGGTGGTGCTGCGGTCTAAAGCACTGAGCCTCTTGGGCTTACTGATCAGAAGGTCAGCTGTTTGAATCCCTGCGATGGGGTGAGCTCCTGTTGCTCTGTCCCAGCTTCTGCCGACCTAGCAGTTCGAAAGCACGCCAGTGCAAGTAGATAAATAGGTACCGAAGGTAAATGGCATTCTGGCTTCCGTCAGTGTCCCATTGTGCCAGAAGCAGTTTAGTCATGGTGGCCACATGACCTGGAAAGCTGTCTGTGGATAAACGCCAGCTCCCTCGGCCTGAAAGCGAGATGATCGCCACAACCCCATAGTTGCCTTTGACTGGACTTAACCATCCAGGGGTCCTTTACCTTTACCTCACCTTACAGAATGCTGCACTAGATGAGTCTTTGGCCTGATCCACCAAGGCTCTTCTTTGGTTGTTTTGTTGTTGTTGTTGAATTCAGCTTTCCCCAAGCCTGGTGCCCTTTGGCTGAGGCTGATGGGAGTTGTAGTCCACAACACCCAGAGGGCTCCATGTTGGGAAAGGCTGGTTCAGTGTGCATCAGTTCATTCTGCCCATTGCCACAATCACTGGTGGCATTCTCCTCCTCCTCGTTTTTTATTCAGATCCACAAGCTCAAGTTTGTTTAATGGCACCACAGAAGCATCTGTTACCGAAAACGCTGCAGCCCCTTGTGGGAGTGGCCACGTAATTCTTCAAAAGCACAGTATGGTCCCCATCAATGCAAGGCTGCACAGTGCCCTGCTTCTTCAATATCATCCTGGGAGAAACCATGTGAATAATGCCGCTACTGTCTTCAGGATCAAGATGGAAAATGAAATGAGACACTCTCGGCTTTCATCTCGATCAATTAAATTTTAATACGTTACAAGGCGAGATAGCAGCAGGTTGCACTATTCAATTTAATGTGCCTGTTCAAAATTCCACAGTAGGCTTCCCAAAAAAAAAGAAAAAAGAAAAAAGCACGTCAGTCTACAGTATATAGAATAACTTTCTGTTTGAGCCTCTTTTGGTATAATGTGGCATTTTGTTTTGCACGAGGCTGTGTTATGAGAGGCATGCTGTAAAAATGTAGAGATGTTGCCAATAATTAGGCAGCTGGGTGGCCCACAAATCTTCTCCATTACACTCTTGTTTTCTTGCCAGTTCTCCATGTTCTCTTCTGAAAGAATGTTTTGTTTGTGTTTACACAGCCCTTGCAGGCAGAATGAATAAAGCCCCTTTCCCCCCCCTCCCAGCTTTCCCCACTTCACTTGGAAGATCTTTCAGCTTTCACATTTATAGACTTTGCAAGAGACTGAGCTCGGGAGAGCCTGGTTTGATCTAAAATTTAGCTTCTAGTTCATCTGGGCCTCATCTGAAGGGGGGTTGCATCCCATTCCCAGCACCAGGACTCCAGCATCGCTTGTGACACCATGAGGCCCCCTGAAGGACCTCTTGAAGAACATGCAGAACTTCCCCTGAGGACTGCCAGATAAATCATTTTCTCACCATTCTCTTCCTACCTGACTCCAGCTCTCGCCCTACCTGGAATTTCTGACTCATGAAGTTAAGATAGAGGGGTTCTTGCAAACCCATATTTTAGATGAACTTCTGTGGAAGTGTATCTCAAATCCTCTTGTAAGATTCCCAAATGCAATGATTAATGGAAGTATGATGTTTATTTACTATTAAAGCACTTGTGGTAAACTCTACATCGAAAAGTCCCAGGGCAGAAATGCTCAAACAAAAGCAAGTTAACAACATAAACTGACATGGTATTAAGGTTAAACAAAGAACAATGAAATGAGATCCATGATACAAGCAGAAAAAGAGGCAGCAAACAGGGAGTCTGATTTCCCAGTGCTCCTCATTCATCCCCAGAGACTTGGGTAAAGAGGTGCGCCTTCACCTGGCCGTATCATCCTTGCTCTCAGCACAAAGTGTGGATTGGGAGCCATCTCTTTGGACAACGTGCAGTGCACATCAGCCACTCACAGCCCTTCAGGCATATCTGAAGGAGTGTCTCCACCCCCATCATTCAGCCTGGACACTGAGGTCCAGCACTGAGTGCCTTCAGGAGGTTCCCTCACTGCAAGAAGCCAAGTTACAGGGAACCAGGCAGAGGGCCTTCTTGGTAGTGGCACCCGCCCTGTGGAATGCCCTCCCACTAGATGTCAAAGAGAACAACAACTACCAGACTTTTAGAAGACATCTGAAGGCAGCCCTGTTTAGGAAAGCTTTTAATGTTTGATGCATTACTGTATTTTAATATTTTGTTGGAGGCCTCCCAGAGTAATATATGATTTCACAACTTTCCCCCAACTGTTAAGTTCTGCATTACATTTGAGCTTTCACACAACACAAAAGCCCCTTCTGAAACTATAGTGGAACTGAGTGCAAATGTCCGTGTTATTTGCTTCCAAAAAAAAATCTGTTTGTGAATAATATGGAAATGAGTGCTGAACTTCTGCTATATTCCACTATAGTTCCAGCATATTCCACGATAGTTGTGGGGGTTTCTTCTTCTTTTTTCATTTGCAAAAATTGAAATCACTACCACTACTACTGTTGCTTCTGGATTCAAAGAGAGCAGTGCTGCTTTGATGGGAAAGTGGATATCTACATATCATGGACATACCATTAAACTTGTCAGGTGCTACTAGGCCTTTTTATTCCATTCAAGCACTTTTCCTTTTATTGCCTACCCTGTAACAAGATTATGGAAATGATTTGGCAGTAGTCAAGCTGTAGCTATAGATACTTGTTCAGAGTAAATAATAAAAGCATTTTATCAGAATTGCTGCCATTTTTCAGTTGAGGGAGGCATGTGTTTCATAAATACGTTTCCCTCCTCTGTGCCCTGTCTTAGGTGAACCATCTCTAATTTCGTTACATTGATAGGTGGCAGTTGTAGCTGGCTTCCTAACCACATTAACAGATGAATAAGGTCGTAATTTTCAGAGCAGTTTGCAAATAGGGACAAAGTGGATAGGTACGAGATTGCAACCTAGTAAGAATGGATTTTGCAGGAGACGATGGGAAAACATGTTAGTTATGCAGTAATTTGATATATAAAATACACCTTAAGCAAAACTAATTTGGGGCAGGAAATAAAATCCACACTGTTCATATGGAAACTCTCCTGGTAAAGTATAGCCTGCAGACAGGGTTAGAGGATTAGTCGACTCCTCAGTCAATCGGCCATAGATTGCGTCTACAAAATGCTACCTGTCAGACTGTAGAAAACCTTAGCAGTTTAGGTATGCACCTAGATAAATGGTTTCGTAAACTTACTTAGAATATAAATTCAGTTCCATGAAGCAGCACAGTCCCCACATAGGGAATTAAAGTACACACACATTTGCAACAGGTTTTGAGAATCATTTGATTCTCAAAAACTCTCTAGAAGATTTTAATCCCAAAGACAAATGTTTAAATTTTTCAGGTGGTAGAACAGGATGATGGACTCATTGTACTGGGAGGTGAGAAATACGCATACATGCTTTTGTCCAGTGAAATATAAGCTTGTCTCTGTCATCTGAATTCAAAGCATGTCCCTATAATACTTTAGCTGAAGCAAAGATAGAAGGTGTGCCAGTCCCTATCTAGAGAGCCAGTTAAACACACGCGCCACTCAGAAGATCCGACAGGCGGGGCATATCCTTCATTTATGGAGGAAATGGAAAATGTGATTTGTATCAGGCATCACTGCCATAGATTTGGGGCTGCTCCTCTCCCCAAGCCAAGATTCTGTAATGCAATATTTCCTCAACCTGAGGTGGTTTTGGAAGAAGTACACATTGACAAAGAGCATGGAGCTGCCATTAAAAAATAAAATAAATCCATCAATTCCTGCACAATGCCTAACTTAACTTATGCCTTTTCCTGTCATCGTTACAATATTGGTTTCCTTGCCCCATCAGCAGCAGCCAATGATGTAGAACAGTGACTTGGAGTAGGATTTACCAGATGTTGTAGAGAGGCAGGCAGGAGGGGAAGCCAAGATGGCAGCCCTCTGTTCCTTGTCCAATGGGCAGTTCTGCCCATACTGACGCACACTCATTTGCCCTTCTTCACATAGTTAAACTGTGGAACTCGCTCCCACAGGGGGCAGTGATGACCACCAATGTAGAATCATAGAGTTGGAAGAGACCACGAGAGTCATCTAGTCCAACCCTCTGCAATGCAGAATCTTTTGGCCAATGTGGGGCTCAAACCCACAACCATGAGATTAAGAGTCTCATGCTCTACTGACTGAGCTACAGTAGCTTGGACGGCTTTAAAAGAGGACTGGACAAATTAGCAAAAGATAAGGATGTTGTTGTTCACATTTATAACTCATGTTTTGTCCAACAAGCTCAAGTGGTATACACAACTCTCTCCCCTCTCAATTTTTTGCTCACAACAACCATATGAGTTCGGTTAGGCTGAGAGATTGGGACTAGCCCAAGGTCCGTCAATGAGCTTCACAGCTGTGGGGATTTGAACCCAGATCTCTCAAGTCCTAGTCCAACACTCAAACCACTACACCACACTGGCTCTCATTGCCTACTAGTCCTGATGGCTAGCTGTGGTTGGAGGCAATAATGCTTCCGAATACCAGTTGTTGGAAACTACAGGAGGGGAGAGCGCTTTTATGCTTGAATCCTGCTTGCTGGTTTCCCATAGGCATCTGAGTAGCCACTATGAGAACAGGATGCTGGACTAAGTGGGCTTGATCCAGCAGGCTCTTCTTGCTTTCTTAAGTTCTTACATGGTCGTAATGTGGCAAGTCTCAAGACATGTGAATCTGACCAAAGAGCAGCTTTCCAGTGGGTAACATTAAACTCCCAAAGTAGCATGGGATCAAGCACAGCCACTGTAGCTAGTAGTCCCTGATAGCCTAATCTTCCTTTAATTTGTCTAGCCCTCTTTTAAATACATCCAAGCCAGTGGCCATCACTGCCTCTTGTGCGAGCAGATTCCACAGTTCAGCTATGCACTGTGTTGTTGTTTTTCCAATCTGCAAAACGCACCATCTCAGTTGCCCAGCCACCTCACACTGAAAACTTGCCGGTGCCGGCAACTTAGTGAGGAGACAGAACTGAGCAGAATGAAGTTTCCCTTATTAAATTGAGTTCTAATACACACAGAAGTGTTTGCTACATGCCTGGAGAGGACAGAAATGAACAGGAGACAGTGTTATTAAGTGCTTATTATTCAAGCACTGGTACTAAGGAAAAAACTAACAACCAGGTAGCAAAATTCCGCCTTTTTATGTGCAGACACGGGTACAACTGACTTTGCTGAAGGTGTTGTGTGTGCTACAGCGGAACCATTTCTCTTTCTGCACTTTGGACCATATCTGCTTCCATCATGACTTATGGAGACAGGAGACAGACACCCAGCTTTGTAGCAAGATTCACATATATTTTTTTAAAAAAATGGGTTTATATTCTACCTTTCATAACACATAATCTTGAAGAGGGTAAAATATAAAGTAAAATATAATATATAAAAACATACTTTTAAACACAGTGGCTTGTATCCATCCTGTCAGCAAAGCTGTTTCTGTTTGAGCAGAGACTTCGCTCCTTGTCTCCTCCCCCCTCCACACACACCCTAATTGTAGTGGATCCCTGTTTCTCTCACGGAGGGATACAATTCCCAAAGTACTTTAACAATCAATTACTCTTCCCAGGGAACTCTGGGAATTGTTGCTCTCCGAGGGTCTCCTCACAACTCACAGTACCCTTAACTGACTACAGTTCCCAGGGTCCTTTGGGGGAAGCCATGACTGTTTAAAGTGGTATGATACTGCTTCAAATGTATAGTGCAAATGGGGGACTAAGACAGTAGTGGAGGAACTGCTAGGAACTGCCTGCCAATGGTAAATGCAGCTCCTAGCAAAAGCGGGTGGGACAACAGACAAAAGACAGAGGCTTCCACACAGAGAAATGGGGTGTGGTCAGGGAGTGAGGGAATGGTCACTATTCAAGAACCAGAAGAGCTTGAAGGGCCCCCTGGCCTAAGACACACACACACACACACACTCCTGAGAGATAGCGACTAGTTCAGCTTATTATCTGAGTTGGGATTTGAACCCACAACTCCATTTTTGACACATATTCTCCTTTGCTTCCTACATTTTATGCTCAGAGGCCTAGGAGGTGGCCAGCTGAGTGTCTTATCAGGACCTGTAAAGGCTAGCTTCATTTCTTCTCACAGATATGCCACCCATCCACACAACCAGGACAATCCAGTTTCTCCTTTCCTTCCACAATTGCAAGATCTGACAATCAAGTTGTGACTGTTGCCATGTTGTTTAGTCAACTTTGCTTCTGCCCCAAGCTGGACCTGACACTCTGCTCCTGGGATGCTGCGGTGCCTTGACTTGCTTATCATAGAATAGTTGGAAGGGACCCTGAGGACCATCTTCTCCAACCCCCTTCAATGCAGGAATATGCAGTTCTCTCATAAGGTGTTATCAGCACCATGCTCTAACCAACTGAGCAATGAGGGGGTTCTTCAGATTTTAGGCCAAGGGTCCCCAAACTAAGGCCCGCGGGCCGGATAAGGCCCAAGGGACTTGTTGATCCGGCCCGTGGCAAACCCCCCACCCCCCCGCCCGCTGCCACCACCCGCTCTTACCAGCGCTGCGCTGTGCGGCTGCCCACTTCCAGGTCAGAGGAGCACCGGAAATAGCTTGTGAGAATGCTCAAGCATTATTTGCGCATGCACAAGCGTTATTTCTGGTGCACATCTGGGTCAGAGGAGGCCCATGCACATGCACACAAGCTATTTCCAGTGCTCCTCCGACCCGGAAGTATGGGCACGAGCTCCCCCGCCCTCTGGCCCTCTGTGCAATTGGTGCTGGAGACACCGGCCCAAGGCGCAGTAAGTTTACTGACCCCTGTTTTAAGCTCTTAAGAACAACTGAAAAATACACTTACGACACAGGATGCTCGCCAAACAAGCAGGGGACTTTAAAACCTCATTGTTTGTGCATTAACTAAAGTGTAAACAACAGCACCACCATTATTCCATTATCTAGCATTATAATGAACCTAAAGTGCCTACTTCATAACTATTGTCGATAGGAAATGAACCAAAGCGACAACTTTAATTGAAAATGTGAAATATAACTCTTAATGAAATGAAAACATCCTTTCATCACTCTAGGACGGGAGTAATGCCCTGCTACTTATTTTGCAAAGCGAAGAGTTAAACACATATTGACGCTTGAATTAAGAATATGCGATAAGGGTCACAAGCAGAGGTGGAACGACTATGAAAATTACCAGCTTTCGATTAGTAAAAAAATATGTTGCCCCTTTTAAGAGTCTGTTGTAAAATCTGCTACAGTTGGAAGGAAAACCATCACAGAAGACAAGCTCCCACTACTTATAAGCTGCATGCTCCTCTGTGTCAGCAATTAACATTCTGAGCGCAGTTGCCCAGTGTCAAGAGTGCTTTCTCAGCGTATTACACACTGCCTTGCACTTTTGCATTACAAGATAACCGATTTAAGTGTTGTGTGAATAACAGCCTGGTTTTAATATATGGAATGATACAATTCACAGAGGACAAGCCTATCAGTGGCTACCGGTCTTGATGGTTATGTTCCACCTCAGAAGCAATATGCCTTTGAGTACCAGTTGTTGGAAAACTCAGGTGGGAAGAGTGCTGTAGAGGTCAATCCAGCTTTTGAGTTTCCATGAAGCATCTTACTGGTGATGTAAGAACAGGACGGCATAGATGGGCCTCTGATCTGATCCAGCAGGGATCTTCTTATAGACTTACAGATTATATATGGGGCTTGTCAACCTGGGAAGGTAGCCTATCCAGGAGAAGGAAAACTCTGATCCTAAACCTCCTCTGCCTAATGGCTGTACACGTTTGTCAGAAAAGCTTCAGGAGTAAACCCCAAGGAACCGTGGGAATGTTGTGGATAGTAGGAGAGGATACACTGATTAAATATTATCCTTCCTCACTCACACTAGTGAGCTGGTAGCAGAGTACATTCCCCTGTATATTTCAGGAAGCTAGTTGGTAGATTCGTCTGAATCTCTCGCGTTAAGCAATCCACTCTGGTTTGCCCAGATTGGATTTGTTCCTGGTAAATTCCCCTTTGTTCCCTCTTAAAAAGAATAAAGACACAACACTCTTTTCTTAAAAGAAATAAGAAGTTTACTAACATTCAGTTCACAGTATGATCCTGAAGGCAGGCTTTAGCTTCTGGTTACAGGAGAGAGTGTGGGTTTATCCCATATGGGGATTGAGCCCATGTGCTGCTGGCTGAGAGCCAGCACACAGCAAAAGCATCAAGATGGTATAAAGCAAAGTGAGAGAAAGATGGCTGCATGACCAGCCCTTTTATTGGGTCTCCCAGGGTCATGCCCATCTACCTGGTCACACGCAGGGGGAGGATGCTCCAGACCAGGTGTCACAAGAAGTCCTCCTGGCTGGAGTAACATCCCCCTGTGTGTCCACTCTGGGCAAACAGGAAATGTTGCACTTGACTGCTTATGTTACATTGCACAGGAACAGCCTTGAGGGATATATCCAGGAGAAGGAAAGGCTAAGAAGTAAACCGTAAACAAATCCAGAGTGATGTCCCAAAGACGGTTGGATGGCATATTGTATGCCTTCTTCCAGCAACTCCTGCAGCTAAGCTGGTGTCAAACATATTACTCTGATTTCCTTTGGACCACATCATTGAGGTTGAGGGGGTCTTGACATCTGAGCAGCCCAGAACCTCCATATATACTGCCCAGGTTGTGCCCCAGAGAGGTCACTTTGGTGCAGCAAACATTGCCATTTCATTTGCTGCCTCAGGGAAGATATTTGGCCCATTATTCCATTGTCTTTTCACTGACAGAATCCAAATCTTATAAAGCAGGAGCTGATTTGTTTTTAAACACTCCAGCTTGCCACTGTAGTTGGGATTCCACTCCCAGAAATGCTGCCCGAAATACACACAGTGGCAGTCCCATTAAAACAAACTTAAATGTACAATTTAAATGCCCCTCTCTCTTTTGCGTAGCAAAACCTTTTAAAAGTAACATTGCTATGGGTTGTATCCAGTGCTTTTTGGGTGGGGGTAAAAATTGAGGTGCTGGTACCCATTTATGGATAAAAGTGTCATGAAAGCCAGCAGAAAATGGCTGCCAGGAGGATCAAAGGGAAAGGTACCGGTACTCCATACCAATGAGTACTGCCATAAAAAATTAGTCATAAGTTAGTCATGAAACCCATTACTTTCAAATGGGTCTGCACTCTGAGTGTGACTTTAATACAGCCCGATGAGATTCCGTTCGTTTATGTAAGTGGTTAAACTTTGTGATCTAAGGAGGAAAAGCCTGGGGAGATGTTTCAAAAACACTGCTTTCTGTTCCAAGTTCTTCTATTTTAACTTTCCCTACCAATTTCCACATGAAACAAAATATCTAGTCATATGTAAGTTAATAAAGTGAACACAAGGGAGACGTACCTCCAAATTAGAGCCAGACCATGAATAATGGAGCAGGAATCTGCCTGGAACAGGGGACCAGCTCTTG